TTATAAATTATATATATATATACCATATATATATTATTAGACTGGATAGATAGATAGAAGATAGAATAGATGATGAGATTAGCATAAGATAGATCGATAGATAGATACGATCAGATAGATAGTATAGAATCCCGATGATATATAGATAGATGGGTTAGATTTGATAAGATAGAAGAATGTGTTTGTGATATATTAATAATATTATTATATATATATTTAGTGGAGCGTAATATTATCTAATATAGATGTAATACAAACTCGATATAAGCAAACTAACTGAGCTCGCATAATAAAATAGACGTATTTAACCCTCGTGGTGCGTAATATAATGCGTGTTAAAATCATTAATAATAATAATAATAATATATAATAATAATAATGCATAATTAGATATTACATACAATTATTATCATGGTTTGCTTGTCTCTGTCATAGGGACTGATATATATACATTATTTACTATGAACAAGGATTATTTGTCTAGGCTTAAATATCTACAAATATCTATATATTAATTTCTATCGTTAAGTATCTATATATTTCATATTCATATCTATATCTATCTATTATAGCTATCCTATCTTAAATAACTATTTAATACGGTATACTAATCTATTCTACCTCTCATTATTACATTATTATATTATGAGTTATGTATATTATATATATTATATATTATATTACATATATGTCTTATGATATATATAAGTATGTACTTCATCTTATATAATAATAAAATATATAATTTAAATATAATTTAATTATTATAATTATTATAAATAATATATAATACTCAATCTATTAATCAATAATATCTATATTCTAATCGGTATATATTATATCTATAAATATATATTTTACATATATATAATATCGTAATCTATTATCTATTCTTATCTTAATCACTAATCTATATATATATATCTATATGATAATATAATTAAATATATATATTATATATATATAATATAAATTAATAATAATATATATATATAATAATATATATATATATAAGTATTATGTTTGTGTGTTGTAGGTGTGTTGAGTATGTGTAGTGGTGTTGTGTGTTGAGTGTGGAGTGTTATGTTGTATGTTGATGTGATAGTAGATATATATATAATATGTATTCAATTATATAGTATAATACTGTGTATATATAATACTGTTGTGATGGGTACTATTAGGATGTGTTAGTATATATATTATATTATATATGTTGTGTGTAGTGTGTGTGTGTGTGGTGTGTTGGTGGTGTGGTTGGGTTGTGTTATTAGGTATGGCTGTATATATTGGAGTGGTTGATGTGTTATATATATTAATTAATATATATATATATATATATTATATTATATTTATATATAGTTATTATATTATAATATAGTATATATTAATTATTATATTCTATACTATATATATATACTTTTATAGATATATATATATATATAATATACTATATAATATATATATATTAATATATATATTTATATATATATATATATTATATGGGTATAATTATTTATATTATATAGTAGTGTATTATATATAATCTATATTATACATTATGCAATATATTTATATGTCCATATATTAATCTAGTATATTTGATCTATAATCTATTTATCTATCTATCTTAATCATATCTAATTCTTATCTGACTAATATAGTATCTATTTACTATTTAAATCTAATCTAATTCACTATCTCTCTCTCCCTACTTATATCATACTCAGTCTCTACTTATCTCATATACTCTATATTCCTTATACTTTCTCCATTATATACTTATTCTACTTTTTTTCTTTTTTTCTTCTTTCCCTTTCTCTTCTCTCTTTATCTCTCTCCTTCTTTTCTTACTGCCTCTCTTTCTCTACCCTTCTCTTAGTGTGTGTCATCCGTGAAAATTACCTTACTCTGTCTCGATCTTATGAGAAACTATAGGCTACTATTATTACTATATTTTTCTTGGCGGCTCGTTATATTATAAGACTCCCTCACTGTACCTAGATATACTATAAGTACCTACCCCCTTCTAACCCCCCATCACTAACCTCCTCTCTATATATACATCAATATATTTGTCCTCTAGACGTAAAAAGGGTAATTTATATATATAATTTCCGTCTTCGGAATCTACGGTAGATTTATATATCATATATTTTCTTAAAATCTAAAAGTACTTCGTAAGTATTATCAAAATCTATACCAGTGTATTCAATTTCAATTTTCTTCATTAATATCAATACTGTTATTGCTAAGAGAGAGAGAGAGAGAGAGAGAGAGAGATAGAGAGAGAGAGAGAGAGAGAGAGAGAGAGAGAGAGAGAGAGAGAGAGAGAGAGAGAGAGAACTCACTTTTATATGCATGTTTTTTTTTTTTTTTATATATATATAAATGATATGAGAAATATCTTCTTGCAGGCAATTTGTTACGTAAATGGTCTTTGCAGCTCATAAATTGCATTTCATGATGAAAATGACATCCATGAAGACATTGAGCTATAATACAAAATTAAAAACGACACCTTTGATGAATAACAAATCAATGGTTTTAGCCAGAAACGTTGTGATTGTAGAGTGTTGTAGAGCGTGATCAAAAAAAAAAAAAAAAAAAAAAAAGGAATCGTCAACTAAAAATGAATATGTTCAGACATTTTGAGGAAAAAATAGAAGCAGAAAAAAAACAAAAGTAAATACATGTGTTCTTTCAGTAACGTGACTTCCATGATAAAAAAAACTAATGGGTTAATGTTTGACAGTGCACTCAATAGACTGTTTGTTTAATACACTACCAGGCGTAGGCGAAATTGAGAAAAAGTCTAAAGCCTTAACTCGTACAAAGTCATGGAGACAGGAATAACTGCACTTTACTATTATTAGCAAATGGGTCGTCTAACTTTTTTTCTTGGTATATTGAATCTCTTTACACACTTTAAAGTCATGTTGCATTTATCAGTTGAAAAAATATACGTATTTACATGCACTAAAGCAGGGTATCTGTTTGAAACAGTTACCTTAAAAAGGATTTATAAATTGTCGAATTCTCGGAAAATAATCCTTTTTCTAAATTCCATTCCTGTATATTCTGATTCATCTTTGCTTTACATTTCTTGGTATTTCGGCACTTTTTTTTATTTCTTTTTAGTATTTTTGCATTTCCCTTATCAGCAATAATTTCTTCATATATTTTCAATCTCAACAATTTTATGCATCTCTTCGACATTCAGTGGATATCTGCATCTTTATGCATAGCCTTATCTCTGTCTCTGCTCTCTCTCTCTCTCTCTTCCTTAACCTTCTCTCATTCTCCCTATTTCCTATGTACCGGGAGAGATATTTGACACCATTGTATATATATGACATTATTCTGTTTTCTCTCGCTCTCTTTCTTTTTTTCTGTATTTATCTCTGCTCTATCTCTCTCTCTCTTCCTTAATCGTCTCTTATTTTCCTCTCTTTCCTATGTATCGGGAGAGAGATTTGACACCATTGTATATATATGACATTATCCTCTCTCTCTCTCTCTCTTTCTCTCTCTCTCTCTCTCTTCTCTTCCCATGTCTCGGGAGAAATTGACACCATTTTGTACTTAGAGAAATATCACTACTTTTTGCTATACAAAAATGGATATTATTAACAGACATATATTTATTTTTCCACCCAACCCACGGAGTAGAGCAGTAAAATGCAAAGGAAGTCAATCGGACAAACATTTTTTTTTAAGTTCTAATTTGCTATGTATTATCATATGTGGTTATAACAAGTATACTACATGTATAAATTTCAATACAATGTATTTTCCTGAGTATATATACCAAAATCGAAAAAAACGAAATGGGTAAGTTTTCTTTGGTGAATGCTGATGGACTAACGCTTTTTCTCCGTATGCAAATTGTACTTCTTTTGAAAAACTCAACGATAATAGACATGATGGGCCGCAGGTAGCTAAAAGCAGGCACGAGTGGCAATAAAAGCAAGTTTGGAGAGGGCGTGGCTTAAACATGAAACGCGTTACCGGGAACCCTTCTAGTCATTTGAAGCTGTAATTGATAACTTTAAAGATGGCAATGGTGTACAATAAACGTGAAGGCAAAAATAATCGATAATAAAGAAAATGATCATGACATTATCCTAAAACAATAAGAAAGTCAATACAAGAAATGACAACATCCAAAACAGTCTTACTACCTCGTCAGAATGTGACAAGTCAGTACTTCCTGTTCTCGTAATATCTTGACAATAGAATACCAGTTGTAAATCACATCCTATACACGTTAAAAGAGATGACATAAATCTTGTCTGTCTCTTGTAATGAACGGCTGTGAATACGGCACGAAGAAACGCTTTTCTTCGAATCCCTTTCTGTAAACAAAGCCCCATCGATTACGTGCCACGAGCCAAGGATATATGGCCACTTATCATTAACGACATTTCCGAAACTGACGCGTTTCCATCGATTTATTTCAATCAAAATGTGAAAATAAATAATATTGAAACCTTAATAGCTGACAAAAGTAGACTCGCATATTGCATGTCGGAATTCTCATGCGTAAGTGCCTGTCCGTGTGCATGTCTTCAGTAAAAAAACGTTTATTACTTGTCTATCATCAATCTTCAGTATAACACAGATTGAAGACGAAAAAAATAATTGCATAGTGAAACAAAAACGTTACTCAGAAACTTTATTTTTTTAACTGGCGATATTCATAGATTCTCTTAGTTCACTTTTCTTTATTGAAAAGAGTGAATTAATTTCCTGAATGGCTGCATGAACCACAGTTTATCAGGCATAACTTATATGTGCTTTAACCAGTGGACTTATCTAATAAGATCGTACTTCTAAAGCTGGGAGATTCTGAAGAAATAGTAAAAGTCATAGCAATTACGTCGAGAAACTAATTAGTGGACTCTTTCCCTCTAACCCACAAAAGAGACCACACATCTGAGAATTTGTGCAAAGGCAAATCGAAGGAACAGGTCAAGCAAAACTCCTCCTGTGACATTTCAGAACAGGATATAACCCCAATAAATCAAGTTGAAGACGGAGAAGAGGATGAACACGATCCATCTGGAGGCGGAGACGATCCTCCTCTCGCGGCTGTCACTCTTGGTCTGCTTCGGTCTCGCGGATTTCGTCGGTCGGAAAGGCTCCACCATGGTGACTGTCGAGAAGCTGACCTCGTGGATGCGCGATGATGACGCGTGAAGGATGATGACGAGGAAGGTGATCCCGATGCAGAAGAGGAGCCAGATGTCGACCATTTTGAAGTACGAGCTCTTGGGCAGCGAAGCCGACACCTGTTTCGGAGCGGTAGCAAGAGGTACACAAAATTATTTTCCTGATCATGTTATCGATTTACATACCTAAAGTCAATAATTATGAAGATTTACTATCACTTTAAACTATTTTTTTTTCCAGCAGCCACATTTCTTTTATATATATATATATATATATATATATATATATATATATATATATATATATATATATATATATATATACATATATATATATATATTATATATATATATATATATATATATATACATATATATATACAATACATATATATATATATATATATATATATATATATATATATATATATATATATATATATATATATATATATATATTTTTTTTTTTTTTTTTTTTTTTTTTTTTTTTTTTTTTTTTTTTTTTTTCTTCTTTCTTCTTCTTTCTTTCTTTTTTTCTTTTTCTTTTTTTCTCTCTCTACTGATTCTTTTATCAATTTAGGTTACAACTCCTAGAAAGAATAATTTCGATGCTATCTCATTGCAGTTATTTTTCGTTATCTCTCAAAATTACAACAGTCATTACACATTTCCATCCTTATCTTTTTCCGCAAACTACAAAAGCCTCTACTGACAAGACCCACCTGAGAGAACAAGGTGGCGATCACGAGCTGGGCCGTGAGAGCTGACATCATCCTCACTTCAAACATGGACGTCCTGAAGAAAAGTGTGCTGAAGCTGACCACAATCAGGATGAAGGAATGGATGTAGATGTTGAGGAGAGCGTAGCCGTAGCGACGCGAAAGCGGTAACCTCACCCTAGCCTCACTGTAGTAGCCGCCGTTGTCGTAGTGGAGGGTTACTTTGCCGACCTTCGAGAGTGTAAACAGAGAGGTCAGCTGGATAGCATGTGAGTGATTGATAATCATTTATCTATGAATGTATGGCTACAGAGTAAAGATTTATATCTGTGCCATAATAATGGAAGGTAAGGTAATAAAGTTTAAGAAGATAAATAAATTAACTGAAACACAAAAGTTATCAGATTATATCATTATTACATTTGTGATAATTGATTATTGATACGGCGACTATTTTATATTCCTTGGTTTAAGATCCGCCGCTCTGATTTTTCCCGAAATTGTCGAAAATTAAATGAGAGAAATTACCTTCATTTTTTTCGGCACATCTAATCTGATACGATTTGATTCCGATGTAAACAAGATTAAGACAATAATAACTTTTTTATTACAATATATATATATATATATTATATATTATATATATATATATATTATATATATATATATTATATATATATATATATATATATTATATATATATATATATATCCACATAATATGTCCTTCAGAAGGCTCGGCCAGAATCTGTATAATTTAGAGTGTGATTCACCAGGATACCATTAATATGGCACCTGCTAGTCTAAACAAAAGTGACAATATGTTCAGTTCAAATTCACCAATATAATATTCATAATTAACTATAAGAACGTAAAAGCCAAAGCCATGTATGAATCATATGACGTATGTACTATCTCCTGTAAGCTTAAGCGGGGGACCATTTTTGTGATTTTGTTCAGTTTTGTATCTAGTCCTTTGAGAAACTTGCCCATAGTAACTTTTGTTCTCTATGTACAATGTATACTAGTATTTCATTATTAAATCTGCTCTGTTTTTCTAGTCCTGTATTTACCCCAGTCGAAATTACCTGCTTCTGTCTCTTAGCGTTAATATGTCCTGTACTGTTGTTTCTACTAGTCCAGTTAATATACCTATAGGAAACCTTCTTCAAACCGATAGTATATGGCATTTGTCTTAAGCACAATATGTTACCGGTTCTGTCAAAGGTGATTTCTGGCTGGGGGAACATGAACAATACTGATTCCAGACGTGATGTAGCTTTGACGTCGACATTTAATTATTATGGTTTACCCCGGCTTTCACATGTTTTCCAGAAATCAATAAATTTTCTAAAAGAGAAAGTCAAAACATGGAATTGTTTCTATTTTGCTACCACCTGCCAGAGATTCAGAAATAAACCAAGGAATGAAATAATCGTGGCCTAAGGATGACAGAAATAATATTGATAGACACTAAACAAAATAATAAAGAGTAAGGAATGTGATTCTCAAACTCTACCTCATATTTTCGAAGCAGAAGAGGATTTGGTGATAAAGATAAAGAAAAACGAGTTTGGTATAAAGAAAACAGACGAGTTCAGGTGATCAAAGGTCAGCAGGTCCTTTGAAGCTGAGGTGATCCTGAGGTGCATCTCACACGTCTGCACGTCGAAAGGGTACAGGATGAGGTCGAAATTACACGTGTACACAGTTCTGTATTTCCTTCTGATCGAGAGCGAGTTCTTTTCTCCATTGAAAACATCCACTGCGAAAGGATATGAACAAATACAATTGTTAGTAGAGAAAATAAATTCAAACAAATATGTATGCTGAGAGATTATATTGTAAGCTTGATAGACAGCTGTAATATGCCCGATTTATACATATTTTTATACACCTTTTTAGATGCATGATTATTTCTACATATCAGTTTAAATGCAAGACATTTTTGTACACTTTTACAGACAAGACTAAATCATAATGTTTTTTTTTTTTTAATGAAATAAAAATCAGACTTCCTCGTCAGGATTTTTTTTAACACATCACAATATAACGGAAAAAAATCAGCATCAGTAGGTTATTTATTCTTACCTTCAGCGGGAGTGGCTCTGTCTCTCTCATCGGCATCAGCGAGTCTGTTAGCAAACATGCTCGCCTCGATATCCACTTCAGTGTGATGGATGTCCTCAGTGTTGACGAAACTGGCCGTAGGAATCCAAAGCCTCTATAGATGAGTCTTCGTTATAACAATTAGGATTCATGCTCTGCGTTCTGCTTGGATGTTGAGTATGGAATTAACCGCTAAGTTCCTTGTCAGTGAATGTATCCTGTGTAGCCTATACAGAGTATATTTTCATGATCTTCATAATAGGTTCTTGACGTTAACTTTTAGGGTTACAATCTCTCTCTTGATGGTTTTAGATATGCCAGCTGTAGACTCTAGGGTACAGTCGGAAGTCGAAGCAGTTTAAATGTTCGGCATGAACTCTTAAATCCCCTCTTGCCCATAAAGTCTCGGAGGCAAATGCCAACTGCGTAATTCAAAGTGATGCGAAATCGACAGGTGGTGGCCTAGTACGTATCTCATCAGACTTGTGATCTGGGCTAGTTCGTATTGAGGTCGCACTCATCTTTTAGCACGAGTTGACCACCACATCATGGGTGGCGCGTATAAATTATTTATATTAACGTGCATAAGTAATTGTACTGTAATCGGGTAGTCATATGCAGGGTCCGGTAGAGAGTTGAGATAAGTAGTCAACGTGCTCTTGGATGGTGCCTGGTTTTCTTCTTTATCGCACCATCTCTCTCTCAACGTGCTCTTACTCATGTGACCGTACTCACCATGGCGCGGCTCCAATCGGGTAAGCATTGGGTTCTCTCACCGTTTCACTTCCATGCGAGCGATGTGTAATTTAGATGTACAGAGATTGACATCACACCAGTCCACGTCCCAATATGTTGATGATTATTCTGATACTCGCCATATCCTTTTTGAAGTCCAAACTGGCCTATGTCCTCCTGATAGGCTACAAAGTAAACATTCCTGAGCTCTCTCTCGCAGGTGCCAAGGAGGGAAAATCTTTGCTGTTCGTGGAAAGTGCAGACCGCGCACCGAATATTCGTCACGCAGTCTGACTACATACAATGCCATTTGACATTCAATTAGTCCACAATTCTCGTAAACCATACCGTTTGGCTCTCGCGGGGCCCAATAGACGCCCTCTGCGACTTCGTTATCATAACGTTTCCAAACCCCGTCCTTCTCCTTATCATTGAGTGGAGTCCAAAGTTTGAAATGACAGGCCTTGTCTTCGGGATAAGTGGAAATCGCAAGTTTAATCCAGAAATTTACCTCCTCCTTAGAAGTCGCTATTGGCAGGTGTGTGTGCCAAGGGCCTCACACAGATACTGGCGCTGTGGGGGTCGGCCATCGCGTAAGGGAAGGAACCAGAAGTATGACGGGGCCGTTTTAATGTTCTGTGACGCAGAACCCTCGTTCAGCGTAGGTGCATATTCTCGATACCGACTCCTGATATCTGCACATTCCAGGGCCGATTCCCCAGGGGAGCCCATATGTAGTTGCCGTGTGCAGGGTCTCGAACTTCGCTGCGTAAGCCTCTTCGGTATTGTCGATGTTGGCATTATAGAGAAACATCTATAAATGTCCCAGACGTATATTGACCTTTATCATACTCAATAGCGATGTTGTAGATATTAATTTATTTTATTGATAATAATTATTTTATCTATATTAATATATAATTATTTTATTGCTGTTCGGCACTTAGTGTGCAATATACTTCTCACACATGTATGGATGTATGCTACATTACATATTAATATTTACTAAATATATATGATATTTATTATATATATATACTACTATATATATATATATATAATATATATATAGTATACCTATACCCAATTATCATACCATAATATTATAACCAAAAACTATATATCATATCGACGGCCGTACGGTAGGTGACTCTATATGCCGCAATCACTAAATCCTCATAAAAGCCTCTTCCTGCCACAGGGGTCAAATCCATTTGCTATTGAGGGCGAATCACCAGGCAGGCCCTCTGAATAAGTCCTAAATGCGTCTAGGATTATACTAATTCACGATTGACTGTGTTACTGTTGTGTGTGTTTAGTTACTAAGGGCACACCGCCATCTAATCTGCATACTTACACTGGCGCCAAATCTCCGATAGATACAAAGTCTCATTCCATCTGTGCCTCGCTCTAATTGAATCGGTATAATATAAGTTATTAATCCTCCATCATATTGCCTCGAATCGCTCGCTCTTAGTTATTCCTCTGTTTATTTTAATTGATAACATAATACTAGACTACTCAATCCGGACTGATACATATATAGACCTGGGCTCGGTTACTGAGTTCATCCCTTCCTAAATTAGTAGGTGTGCTGTAGATGAAGAGTTGTAATTGTGTGTGTGGATACGTATGATAATCATATATACATAAATATTAATAATTACTTGACTAAATTATATAATACATAGTAATCATATTTAATGTAGATACTGGTTAATTTAGCTAGATAGTAGCCGTGTAAACGCTCAAATGGGTGATACCATCTGAATTATCAGCTTTAATCAAAATTTATTTTTGCCTATTCGCGCTTAAGTAGTTATAGTTAAAGTAACTCATCTGTGTTCCTAATAGTCAGGTATGTTCCATATTAATTAATTACCTATTTAATCTATTAAAAATGTGATAATTATAATTATTAATATTATAATACATGCATGGTATTATGATTATATATCATATTTATATAATCAATTTATACCAAATAGGGTATACTGATTAGGGAATTGTGTGGTACTTATAGATACATAAGCACAGGTTATAATACCCTCGCGCGAATTCACCACCCATATATTGCTCTTATGAATTCTAGTGGTGCCCAAAGCTATTTAATTGGGTATCTAGTAACTTTAATGTGTTCATATTTAAATTATTTAACTGTAAATCAACATATATTAATTTATATAATTAATATATGCTGTACAGTATGTTATAATCCTTTTTAATAACTAGTGTTAATCATCTAACAGTCATGGTATGTGGATATATATCATGATTATTATATAATAGTTAGCTATCATTAGTCCCCTTAAGATTATCCTACTCTCCTTGCCTTCAAGGTTCAATTTATTTTCTTATTGACACCATTGTCCCGTTGTTTATAATTTTATTAAATTTGCGTATCATTATTATCTGTGAATATAAAATAAATTTAATGATGAATTAATAGTTAACAAAACTGATAATGACAAACGAGGATTTAGCTAATAACTTGTATAAATGATATATATATATATCAATAGATAATAATGATAATTCATGATAATGATATAATATATATATAAGTATATAACTCCATTAATATCAATGATAATATAATGAAGATAGTTATTAATGCATAATACATTTATTATTTTATTATAAGTAGTATGTATAGTTATTATAAAACTATCATATTATTATTATATATAT